CAGCATGATTTCCTCAGACTGGGTCTGTTTTCTCGAGGACTTCATGAAACTCAGTTTTTCTGCAGGGCACCAGGAGAGGCAGAGAATGGCTGTCAGTGCAAAAGGCAGCAGTCAAATGCTTTTTGCTGTTCCTGATCCTGCAGTTATATAGATTGCAAGAGGAAACTCCAGTACTTTTATCATTAACAACGTAAGAAAGACATCACAATGCCTAATTAAATTTATTCCTCTATTTATTCAGGCCTCTGAACAATTACAGACATACGTTTACATATCTCTACATCAATATGTATTGATAAACACATTTGACTGTCATATGGCATCTAAATTCATGTTTATCCAAGCACTGCAGAAAGTTAGCTCATCAGGGGCTCAGCTGTCCTATACTGAGAAATATTTTTACAATTCCCAAGGAGCCTTAAACAACAACCCAGAGTAGCACAACTACAAAGCTCAAGACCCCCTTTGTTTTGGAATGTTCACAACTAAAAGTTCATCCAAACGTTCTCAGTGTTTGCAATCTACCATATTAAAACTGTACCTAAGTTTAGATCTCTTCCATTCCTGTTTAGAATTTGCATTTTAGAGAAAGGTAACAAAGTGAGACATAAAGCAATCATAACAAATAACTACATGTCTAATTTTAGGTGACATCAATCTCACTCTTAGTCATATACCTTCTTATGTTTGCTGTGATTTACATAAGTTTCAGTCATAAGGCTGGGTATTTATCCCTCACATCAACAAAGCAGATGCCACAGATTAATTTATTACTGACAAGACAAAGTTCCCGGGGGACTCGTATCATATGTATTCTTCCATTGAAACAGACAAAAAAAGTCACTGAACAGGACAGGACTGAATTAAAATCCAGAAGTTTCAGGGGTTTGTTTCAGACTGCTATAAAGATTGATGTCTCAAGGATGAAGGACCTCCGCCTCCCTAAGGTCTTGCTTTATGGTGAACTTGCCACTGGCTGCCGCATGAGAGGAACCCTGAAAAGAAGATTCAAGGAATCCCTGAAACATCTCAGCCCTGGCCATATTGATCAACATAACTGGTCTACTCTGGCCTCCAATCAGGAGACCTGGAGACACACCATCTATAACGCTGCTGATGCCTTTGAGAAAGCACGCAGGATCACCCTTGAGGAGAAAAGACAACGCAGAAAGAATCTTGCTCTGCAGAATTTACCACCTAAGGAGTCTTTCTGCTGTGCCTTTTGCCACCGGACATACCTGTCTCGTATTGGCCTTTTTACCCACCAGCACACTTGTAGCAAATGTGGGTAGAGCCCTTCCCAAATCTTCATTCACGAAGCCTGGCCATGGCTGAATGAATGAAATGAAAGATCGATGTCACCCAGCAAACAGAACTTCCTCACAGAACTAAAAGAGTTTAATACGGGGTTTAGGGTTTGTACCTAAATATTTTGCAGTTCTAGTAAACTTGATAGCAAAGCACAAAGCTAAAGTACAGTAACAGTTTAATGGGAACAGTCTGTTAAGATGCAAAAATGTTTTGCAAATGTTTTCCTCAGCCCCTCATGCATTTCTAATGCAATAAGCTGAAAAGGGCTGATAATCATGAAACTGCATTAAATGTGCTATAAGTCAAATACCTTTCAGAAATTCTAATAAACTCTTTTCATAATGTATTAGCGTATTCTGCCCTGTGGATCTCATTTTTACCTATTAGAGAACTTATCTAAGATCAGACAAAAGAACTTTTCTGTTCTACTGGCATGCTGAGTGGAATTCATTATTAAACACTGTGCTAGGTTAATCTGATTTGGGAAAAAATCATTAAAGATGCAGGAGATGCTTTTATAAAGATAACTGAAATTAGATAAGTGAAAGAAAATGCCCGCCAGAAGAAAACAGACACTCATGAATTTTTATTTTCTTTTTCACCAAATTTCTTCTTTCAGACTCTAAAGGCAGTGAAGATTTGGTTGACTGAACTGTCCAGTTGACAGCCTTGAATTATGTAGTGTGCAATGCCTGATACATTTCTTTACCTTCCTTAAGAAAATCAAAAAGTTTTATAGAGCTCTTTTCAGAAAAGACCTTTTAAATTCCTGGTAAGGATTCCCAGACAGAAGAATGAATGTGACACCTCATAAAAAAGAAGATTTGTGTCTGTAGTCCAAATGCTCAAGTATCCTGCTTGTATACACGTAGGGCCCCAGACCTTATTGAGACTAGCTAAACTACACAACTCCCAGTGCTGCAATGACTACTCAGACCTTCAGTTTGTGAAATATTACGGGACACTTATTCCAAGAGAGATTCCATATTCACCGAAATTGGATCTTTTACTCTTCCCCCATCCCTGCTAACTTCACTATCAACCTAAATTATGGTGTTTATTTAAAGAGTGGGCAAGCTAAATCCAAAATCAGCTACCCACATTCAGACTGACCATATCCACACATTTCCAGGCCTGTCCTTTCATGGTGCTTTGAAAGTTTTTCCCCATAGAAAAGAAGACTGGATTACCCTTAATGTTTTGGGACCAAATCTTTCAAGAATTATATGTGAGCAAAACCCGAGCAAGGAAATGACGTCTAAGGTCTATCTTAGCAGCAGTGTTTAAGCCTCATTGCTGTCACCACACTTGTCCAGAAATCTGGGCTGCAGAGGTGTAGTAAAATGATTCTTTCTTGTCATACTGCTGTGCAGACCTTAAGGCTCCGATGGACTATTTGAGAGAAGTGGTACTGCTCACACAACAGGACAAAAGAAAACAGCCTCAGGTTGCACAAGGTGAGTTTTAGGTTGGCTATAAGGAAAACCCTTCACTGAAAGGCAGGTCAATCACTGGAATAGGCTGCCCAGGGCAGTGGTGGAGTCACCATTCCTGAGGGCATTTAAAAGTTATGTAAATGTGCCACTAAGGGATATGGTTTAGTGGTGGCCTTGGCAGTGCTGGGATGGGGCCTCAGGAGACTCTGCTCAGGTGTCTCTTGCCCTTTCATGGGGAACAGACAAGGCAGCAGATGGACATCAGTGTGGCTTGGGCTGGACACTTTGTCAGGAGAGCCCATGGGAGCTTGCTCCTGCTGCTGGCTTTGTACTTAGAATCATAGAATCATAGAATCGATTGGGTTGGAAAAGACCTCCGAGATCATCGAGTCCAACCCTTGGTCCAAATCCAGTCCATTTACTAGATCATGGCACTCAGTGCCACGTCCAATCTGCGTTTAAAAATCTCCAGGGATGGTGAATCCACCACCTCTCTGGGCAGCCCATTCCACTGCCTGATTACTCTCTCTGTAAAGAATTTTCTCCTGATATCCAACTTAAATTTCCCCTGGCGGAGCTTAAGCCCGTGCCCCCTTGTCCTATTGCTGAGTGCCTGAGAGAAGAGACCAACCCCCACCTGGCTAGAACTTCCCTTCAGGTAGTTATGGACGGTGATGAGGTCACCTCTGAGCCTCCTCTTCTCCAGGCTAAACAACCCCAGCTCCCTCAGCCTCTCCCCATAGGACTTATGCTCCAGTCCCTTCACCAGCCTTGTTGCTCTTCTCTAGACCCGCTCCAGCACCTCAATATCCTTTCTGAACTGAGGGGCCCAGAACTGAACACAATACTCAAGGTGTGGCCTCCCCAACGCAGAGTACAGGGGAAGGATCACTTCCCTGCTCCTGCTGGCCACGCTATTTTTAATACAGGACAAGATCCCATTGGCCTTCTTGGCCACCTGGGCACACTGTTGGCTCATGTTGAGCTTCCTGTCAATTAGTACCCCCAGGTCCCTTTCTGCCTGGCTGCTTTCCAGCCACTCTGTGCCCAACCTGTAGCGCTGCAGGGGGTTGTTGTGGCCAAAGTGCAGGACCCGGCACTTGGCTTTATTGAACTTCATCCCATTGGAATCAGCCCATCTCTCAAGTCTATCCAGTTCCCTCTGCAGAGCCCTCCTGCCTTCCAGCAGGTCAACACTCCCTCCCAATTTGGTGTCATCAGCAAATTTGCTGATGAGGGACTCAATCCCCTCATCTAAATCATCAATAAAGATGTTAAACAGGACTGGACCCAACACAGACCCCTGGGGAACACCACTGGTGACCGGCTGCCAGCTGGATGCAGCTCCATTCACCAGCACTCTCTGGGCCCAACCCTCCAGCCAGCTCCTAATCCAGGAGAGGGTACACTTGTGGTGGTAATGCCCAGAACTGACTGAGCAGGGGAGTGGGGATGAAGGCTGGGGCTTGTCGGCCAGCTGATGTGTCCCTGGTGGCTGTGACATCACGGAGGACAGGTCACAATGGGAGCTGTCCCTAAGGACAACAGCGGGCAGCCCCAGGGCAGTTGGACTTTGGCAATCAGTGAGTGCAGAAGCAAGGGGAAGGCTGGGATGGATAGTGCTGCCCAGGGGGGTTTCTAACACTGAGTGGGGGCTGAACACCTCAGGGCAGGGCACAGTACCGCTCTCAGGCCTGGGGGCAGAAGATCTCAGGGGCTTCCAGCAATGCCACAGAGGCTTTGGGGATGGGCCAGGTGCCCCTGGCTCCATGGGATGCTGTGATGTGGCAGGGTTGGGGTCTCGGGAGGCTCTGCTCGGGTGTCTCTTGCCTTTTGCCGGGGCACAGCCCAGCCAGGGACTGACAAGGAGGCTCCGGGCTGGGGCAGGATGGGCCCTGTGCTGTCTGCAGCCAGGCGCTGCCTTCCCTTCAAGCCTCGATGCCCGTGCTCCCTCCCACCCCAAGCCACTGAGCAAACTTTTCTCTTATGTCCTCCAGGCCATGGTGTGAGACCCCAGGCTCTTCTCATGAGCTCATTGAAGGGGTTTTGTGTCAAAAAGATACAAGGCCCCAAAACCCACTGGACGGATTTATTAAAGTGTCCTTCGGTTCTTTTATACCTTGAGGGCACACACAGGAAAAACGCTACGACTCTTTTCAAGGAGTCAAAATAGCACACTTTTATTGGCAAACTTTGCCAAGTAAGGGAACTTGGCAAAAGTTTAAAACAAACATTAAGTCAACCTAAAGCATTTCACAAAGCACTGACTTAGCAAATTCCAATCCATCCAGGTTTAAGTTACCCAAGTATCAAGAAAAGGAAATTAAGAAAAGTGGAAGAAGTAAAGAAAGAGAGAGAGAGAATTACAGCTACCACTTTAGATCCATCATAGAATCAGCTACCAGAAGTCCAAGAACAGTAGGGCCATGCCAATGTGAAGGCCACATGGTCTTGATTTTATTAGCTCTGGTGGGGCTTTCAGTGTGCCAACCATTCTGGGGCTGGGTTACGGGCTCCAGGGGGTGTGGTGTGGGGTAGTGCTCTTGGTGTGTCAGTGACTGACTGCTGCACAAGAAACTCTCAAGAAGGATGGATTATGGGGGGGGCAGTGCACCACTCCACCTTGGCAGAACCCTATCTGCCCCCTCCCACACAGACAGAGTTGTTTCTAACCAGTTATAATGTTCATAATTTTTTTCAGTCCTTCACAAATGGCAGTGGCAATCACACTCCTCCTGGCTGTGGTGGCCATCCTGCTCGGAAAGATGCATGATCTTATAGTCAGTGTGGCCACAGCCCAGTGGATGAAGCTGCATGAGGTTTTTCTGCATCCGGTGATGACATGGCTTTGGCAGGACGTCAAGCTGACCAGCCCCTTGGAAGAAGCCTCACTGCTTCCCAAATTGCAGCGCTGGCCCTTTTACACTGCTGCAGCAGCCGTGCTCGCTGAGATTTGCTGGGTGGCCTGGCAAATGCATCTTGCCTCTCGCAGCTGCCCTGAGCAGGACAGCTCCAGCAGCGAGGAGGAGGAGGATGACAGTGAGAAGAAGGACCTCAAGGAACGACACCCCAGTGTTCGGATGTTTTCTGTGCACAATGTATTGCCAACGCAGGAACTGTCTGAGATGTGCAGGGATGTGCAGAAGTTGGTGCGTGACCTCCTCCGTGTCTGCCGAGTGATTTGCAAGAAGACTTCCATGCCAGAGATGCACCCAGCCATTGGGAAGGATGGCATCCATGAATCCTGGAATGTCTTTGAGGACCGAATCATGTACCTGCTGGTTGTGGTCCTGCAGCCACCCCCCGGATACTCTTTCAGATTGGAGCTGTATGGTGGGATGCACCTGCCAGAGAGGTGCTGCAATATCCGTGTGGTGCTGGAGTGCACATGCTCAGGGACAGGGGATATGTTTTGTTTTCTCCACCCCTCTGACAACAACCATAGCTCTCCCCTCCTATCCACCCTCTGCACAGGCTCCTACTTAGATGTGGAAGAAATTGCCTGCTGGATGCAAAATTTGGTGGGATCAGCCTGGGAGAGTTTGCCTCAGTGGCACGATTGGGAGCTCCGGGTGCTGCCCTCCTCCCATTCCTGCAGGCTCCTGCTGACTGGACCCTCCGAGGTGCAGCTCTGTGTTGTGCTGATGTTTGCAGTGCAGCAGGGCAGCCCAGGCACCTTCCTGGTCCTCCAGTAGGCAATGGCAGCTTTCCCAGGCACTGGTTTGGGCTGGGGCTGCACGGGGAGTTGGGAGCACACACAGCTGGGACAGCACAACAGACCAGTATGCTCAGTATATGGAAGAGAAGGGGAGAAGGAAGAGGAAGGGGATAAGTTTGTAGTCACAGCATTTGTCTTCCCAAGTCACCATTACTGGTGACAGAGCCCAGTTTCCCTGGAAATGGGTGAACACCTGCCTGCCCATGGGAAGACAAATGCTACAACTCCGAACATCCCCTCAGAATCACAGAATCAAAAAGGTTGGAAAATACCTCTGAGGTCATTGAGTCCATCCTATGACTGAACACCATTCCTGGATGTCACACAATCAAGTGCCACGTCCAGTCTTTCCTTAACACCTCTGGGGATGGTGACTCCACCACCTCCCTGGGCAGTCTATTCCGATGTCTAATCAGCCTTTCTGCGAAAAAATTCCTCCTAATGTCCAACCTACTCTGGTGCGGCTTAAGACTAAGTCCTCTCGTCCTGTCACTGGTTGCCTGGCAGAAGAGGTACAGTTGCTCTAGGAAGTTCTCTTCCACAAACTCCAAGAACCTCCTAGTCTGGATACTCTCCACTGAGTTGAGTTTCCAGCACATGTCCAGCATGTCCCTCCTCCTTCCTTCTGTCCCCTTCTTTACATACTGAGCATGAGGACATATGGTAAGGAATGCCCCTTTGGTCATTTGGGGTCAGCATTCCTGTCTGTGTCTACTCCCAACTCCCCCACATACCCTATTGTGGTCTAAGCCCAAGGTGGAAATTGAGGTTCACGAAGCCACTAAATCAACCCTCTTCCCCCCACCCTGGTGGAATGGGAATGAGAATCAAAAGTAAAACTTGCAGGTTTGGATAAGTTAAGTAATTAATAATTTGACAATTTAGATAAATTTAATAATTGAAAATAAAGTGAAATATAGTAGTAATGGTAAATATTAAAGATAATAAAAATGGAAAGAAAAAAAGCCAAGCAAGTGATGCACAGTACAATTGCTCACCAACTGCTGACCCATGCAAGGTCCCCCTTTGCAAACCTAGATCAGCCCCCTTCTAGGTAACTCTCCCAGTTTATATACTGGGTATGACTTTCTATGATGTGGAATATCCCTTTGGTCAGTTTGGATCACCTGTCCTACATATGCTCTGTCCCTGTTTCAAAATTAACTCTCCCCCAGCCCAAACCAACACACTGAGCAACAGCTTTTGAATTGTTTTCTGTGACAGAGGAGGAACAAAATTTGAGCACCAAAGCCTGCTATCTAGTTCTCATAATAGTACAAAAGGTCATTTTTCCAAGTGGTTAAACTTCACCCTCAGGCTTTCAAGATTATGTGCTGAGTCTTTATTAAGAAAAATCTTATTGCTTTAAGAAGCAGCCATTGCTTTTAAGAAGAGAGAGACACTGTTTTTTTGTTAAAAACAAAACAGAAAGAAGAAAGCCTTATCCCATTAGCAGCGTGAATGGCATGTGAAAATAAAGTTTGTAATAAAAATTGACATTTCCTTGGCTCCTTTTTCCATTGAGGTCTGACAGGTGTTTGCAGGGTTGCCAACCCCCCTAGGTTAATTCTATGCATGAAGAACACTGGGATTAAGCTACTTCCTCAAGTGGAATTCTGAAAAATTAACTGAAAAGGGGAATCATGGAGTTGTTAAGGAAACTTCCCTGTGGGACCATCTAGGAGTCACCTCAGGAGTCACACCCACAGTACCTGCACTAGGACCGAGGTCCCTTCGCAGCAGCAGCCCCAGTGACCCCACAGGTGCCCCACTTGGCTCCCTGCACACATCACACTCACACAGTCAGACCAGGTTTCCCTAACACCTCAACACCAGGTTTCCCACAGCAGAGTCACAGAAGTGAAGATCCTTCAAATACTTTAATCTTGATGCAATAACAGAATAACATCTAGAGCTGGGTGACTCGAAGGAGGGACTCTGAACAAAGGAACCCCTGGGCTTTTATATTCTAGCAGTCCAAATGTGGGAAAGTCTGGGGTCCTTGGCTCCTGACGTTTCTCAGTGTCCCTCACCTCGCTGGAGCCACAGGTCCCCATGCCCTTCATTATGCAAAGCCTCAGCAGTTCAATGTCTCTTGCCTGGGGCTTCAGCCTCCCACAGATCAGGCTGCAGCTCTCACTGCAGCTGCACACCCAGCTACCAGAACTATACGTATTCCGTAACAGAATCATAGGACCACAGAATGGTTTGGGTTGGAAAGGGATCTTGAAGATCATCTAGTTCCAACCCTGCTGCTGTGGCAGGGACACCTCCCACAAGACCAGGTTCCTCAGAGCCCCATCCAACCTGGCCTTGAACACTTCCAGGGTTGGGGCAGCCACAGCTTCTCTGGGCAACCTGTTCCGGTACCTCATCACTCGCACAGTAAAGAATTTTTTCCTGATATCTACTCTAAATCTACTCTCTATCAATTTGAACGTCATCATTTACCAGATATTTTTCAAGCTCAGCAACTGCGGGATTGAGATGTTGAGGTTTCCTGGTGGGCCACTTTCATTCTTTTTCCACAGCTGTTGCTATATGTTTTTAGAAGTCCACAGATAAGGTACACACAGATTTTACTTTACCTTTTCCATGGAAGAGCATGTCTGTGGGAGGCAATTGAGCTGTAGACAGCTTGGGCCCTGAATTTGAGTGGTTGCAGCTGTGAAGTTTTGAAGGAATGTAAACAACAAAGATGAGAAGGTGGACAGGGAGGACGGAGCTGTGCGGTAGCTGTGATAGCCACAGAGCCTGGACTGTTTGCTGAGTGACCCTGAGATGCAGAAGCTATAGAGCAGCCAGTCTTAAGATGTGTATGTAGTAAGGACACCAATGGTGGTGAAACATGCTGACTAGAGGAGACTATAAATTGTCCATGTTTGTATGAAATAAAGTCTTTTCTGCGTGAAATCCCAGTGTGGTATCCGTCCTGACAACGACACATGCCCAGAATATTGGTGCCACTGTTCATCTGAGAAGAGTCAACTTGATCACTTGTGATGATCTGTTTAGAGCCTAATCTGGACAAACCAATATTAGAGCAGAGCTAGTTGCAAGTATAACCTCTCCAAACACTCATGGGGTACACACTGTCTCCTCTGCACCCACTGTTCCACTGTGCCCATTGTTCCACCCAGTTGCAGCACTGGATTCACACACAGCCTGGGGAGAGCAGAGGGAGCTTTCATCTCCTGTGCATTCCTGACTCTGCTCACGGCACACAGGGCACAGCAAAACTGTTCTTTCTATTTTTTTGTTCTACTCACAAAGCTTTTGTGCCTGCAGAGGACTTTTCAGTTGTACAGTCCCAAACTGTACCCAGGTCACATCCTCTCTCTGCAAGCTCCTGTGTCTGTAGGTACAGTACAAGGGAAGCAGCAGAAGTGCAGAGGGGACAGGAGAACAGACCCCGCTTTTCGTGCTGGCAGATGTTTTGCAAAACACCACTCTCAGAGGTAGAAAAAAGGACAGGCAGAGTGAAACATCTCTCATTCATCATATCTGAGATTGCTGTACAATCTTTCTGGCAACCTGACTCTCACAACAGTCTCTGAACATGCTGGCACTCACTCTTTTGTTTGGTTGGCCTCTTGACTGCACTAGTTCCTTTTGGTCTAGACACCCAAGCAACTTTTTGCAAGGCTAACGGCAGCATTTTCCTGCTTAATTCCATCCACAGATGAAGACTTCAATCTATATTCTTGATTTTAGCCCTGTCCTAACCAGTGAGTCCATTTACCTCCCAACAAGCTTAAATCTCCCCAGTAATCAAATGTTCAGCACCTCTGCACGGGTCCCCAGCGGGTTTTAATGTGGCACCTTGGCAGTTGGCATATTGCCTCAATTCAGATGTCCCTAGTTGTATCTTAGACTAAAATTTCTGTGGGATCCAGCCACCAGAGGAATAGAGATCCATAATCAATGAGCAGAGTTAGTCCTTCTGTGCCCTAGGCATTAACTAGAAACGGTATCATGGAATCGTAGAATCCTGGGGACATCAAACCTCCCATAACAGTGTAGGCAACTGTGTCACAGAGTCATAGAATCATAAAACTGTAGGACGTTTTGGGTTGGAAGGGCCTCAAAAGACCATTTAGTTCTAACACCCTTGTCATGGGTAAGGACACCTTCCACTAAACCTGGTTGCTCATAGTTCCTGTATTTTTTTTTTCCATTCCACCCAAAATAGATTCTACATTTTCCTGCTGAGTTTTCCCAGCAACTTTTTTTTTTTAAATGATGACACATTTTACTCTGTTCCCCTTCAAAATGCTTCACAATATACTCTTAGAGCACTTCACTGTGGGAGATGTCAGACTGCAGATTTTTTTCTCCAAAACTTACTTAAAACCTGCAACTCTGTCCAAGGCAGGTAAATATTCTGCAGGAAAGTAAGTTTCCTGGTATTTTGACTCACACAGAGATGAAATAACATGCTGTATTTTAAAGCAAGCTTTTTCCCACTCCTGCTGTGATGTAAGAAGTTGTTTTGTGAATCTCATTGCTTACACTGGAAAGATCAGGGCAGAGAAAACAGTGGAGCAGCAAGTTTGCTTTATGCAGCATCAGTCCTCTGGTAAAGTAAGGTTTTCACTAAAAATATCTGTGATATTTTGAACTAGAAGGAGGACTCTATTCCTCTATTCTCACCTCTTCTGCTAGGTGTTTGCTGCTAAGTGGAGATTTTTTTATATGAGATCATCACCGTAGTACTCATAACACCCTGGCCAGCAGAGACTGTGAGGTCAATACTTAAAAAGAGCACATTCTTTTTCTGTAGTATCTGCTGTGCAACTGCCTTTAAGTTTGTTCCTTGAAGACTGTGCATCCCAGAAAGCCAACTGTATCCTGAGCTGCATCCCCACAGCATGGCCGGGAAGTTGAGGGAGATGATTCTGCCCCTCTGCTCTGGTGAGACCCTGCCTGAAGTGCTGTGTCCAGCTCTGGGACCCCCAGAATCAGAAGGATGTGGAGCTGCTGGAGCAAGTTCAGAGGAGGCCACGAAGAGGCTCAGAGGGCTGGAGCACCTCTGCTCTGGAGACAAGTTGGGAGAGCTGGGGGTCTCCAGCCTGGAGAAAAGAAGCCTCCAGGGAGACCTTAGAGCCCCTTCCAGTGCCTACGAGCTACAAGAGAGCTGGAGAAGGCCTTGGAATGACAGGAAAAGGGGAAAGGCTTCACACTGGCAGAGACCAGGTTTAGATTAGATATGGGGAAGAAAGTCTGTGCTGTGAGGGTGGTGAGGCCCTGGTACAGGTTGCCCAGAGAAGCTGTGGCTGCCCCATCCTTGGAAATGTTCAAGGTCCGGTTGGATGGGGCTTCGAGCAACCTGGGCTAGTGGAAGGTGTCCCTGTCCATGGCAGAGGGGGTGGAACTGGATGATCTTTGAGGTCCCCTTCCAGCCCAAACCATTCTGTGATTCTATGATTATGAGTTTATGATTTTACAACACTATGTGTTTAGGATTCTATTAGTTTTTGATTCTACTATGTGTTTATGATTTTATGATTCTGTGACATAGTTGCCTACATTGTTAGAGGAAGTTTGATATCCCAGGAATCACTTCCAAATCTGGAAATCTCTTGTGTCAGCGAAAGATTGCTTATAATTACTTTTTGTAAATATGGAGCTATGACACAGCTGTAGAATTCTGCCTTCCCCCAACAAGGAACAACAACAGAAGCCTCAGTATTTGCTACCTCTTTTTGCACCAAAGTTTCTTTGAGTGTCCTCTTTAAGTTTGATCTTGGCTTAGCAAGCTTCTGAGTCCACAAAAAAAAAAAAAAAAAAAAAAAGAGAGAGCAGAAGGGGTGAAGGAAAGCAAATCCTCATGCCAAACTAGTTTTCTCAAAATTTGCACAAGCATTAATCAGCACATTGCTGCAAAACAGAACAAATAAGAGCATCATGTTCTTCCGAAAGACCAGTTTAAAGGGTTTTGAACTGACTCAGACAAACATATCCCTCAGGGACATCTTTGATTTCTACATTGTTCTCCTGATCACACAGTGTGTTCCCAGAATGAGATTTTTCACTGTTTGTCTTCTTTTCCTTACTGGGCATGGTATTTAGGCAGAAAATCTGTCAGAAAGGAATAGCTGCATATAAATGTTATTCTTAGTACGGTTTCTGATATTATAGCTCAGCATGTTTGGAATATTGATCACAGCACTTTAATTTGCAATTAAAATTATACTTTCTTTTTCCACTGATTTTTTGACTAATTTTATGCAAAATACAGCCTAGGATTGACATAAGGGCAATAAAAATTGCACAGAAAAATCTGTTCCAAGCTAATTGTTAAACATATGGTCACATGCCATGGAAAAGGGGCAGGCAATATGAACAAGAAGTGAACGAGGACATTTAGTATCTTTATAAAGACAGAGGCTTTAATTACTGCTGCTACTTGCATTTTCATTAATTTCTTCTTGCCTTAATTTTCCACACAACCTTTTTTTTTTCTTTTTCCACATTAGAGAGGCATTCACGTTCTCCCACAGTGGTGTAGAGAACTGCTGACTTCAAGATAGAGAAAACTAAGGTGGAAGGAGTTAGAAGGGTGACCCTGGAGATCCTGGAATACCATTTTTATGTCACGTCAACAAAAATTAGGATGAATTCAGAGAGATCACAGGCAATTACAGCATGGTTAGTGGTATGATATGATCATCATGAATTGTTTGCCATTATAACTGGTTAAAAGTTGGATTTATATGTGGATTCTTCAGTCTAGGGAATTTAAGTGGAAGGTTTTCTTAATTTCTTCTTTCTTAATTTTCTTTCTCTACAAATTCAGTCATATGCACTCAAATACCTTGTCCAGAGACACTGTGGCTGCCCCATCCCTGGAAGTGTTCAAGACCAGGCTGGATGGGGCTTGGAGCCACCTGGTCTAGCGGAAGATGTCCCTAACACCAAAAATTCTGTGGTTCTGTGGTTCTATGGTTCTGTGATCTTGGATGCACACCAAAAAATTTACCTATTTCTGTATAGCATAAATCAAATTCGCCCTCAGTGCAGCTTATTTTTCACTTCTAAATTTTCCAGAACATTCTTAGCCTTTGTTTAGCCAAACATAAAGAGCACCACCTTCTGATTTCAGTGCTTATTCAGTGTTGAAGTGGATTGGTGATCGATATGCTCCAGTCTTCTCAAGTCAATATCTGAGCTATAGGTCACTCTGCTAGAACTTTTCCACCCTTCTTCACAAAATGAGTTTTTCTCAGATTGCCGTCCCCATTCTACTCCTCAGTTTCTTGTGTCATTAACCAAGTCTTATTCATTTACTGCACTCATCCCCATACTAGTATTTTAGTTCCCCTCACAACTGTTTATCTCTGTCCTATTATTTTGTCTCTTTAATTCCTGATTTCAGAGCCTGCATTAATTGCTTTTTTTCCACATTGTGTATAAAATGATCTTTGAAATGCTCTTCACTGAAAAGATAGGTAGGATTTTTCATTCTGTTTTCTTCATTTTTCTTTAAAAAAAAAACACCTTACAATTATCATAAAGGTACAATGATTTCCTTATATAGCAGAAAAAGAAAAAAAAACCCAGCAAAATCCCTTTTTAAAACCCTTCACATTTTTTATGGTGACTAATATAGTACTATAAATACATGAAAATGAATAGAAATTGCTAATTTTTATTACAATAAAGTGTCCTTAATATTTTTCAATCTTTTTTATTAACAGGAGACCTTATTATGTTATTTAGATTGTTACAGCAAACACTGCAAATGCATTTAGTCATTATTGATATTCCACTCATATCTGTCAAAGGACTAGAATTTCATTACTCTCCTCATTTTTCCTAACTACCTTAATCTTTTGTTTATCTCCACTATTTCCCCAGGTGACCTAACTCTGGGAAACATCAAAGAACAGGAGAACAATAGAGAATTGATCACTTACAATTCTTTATTGATCCTATGTTTTGTCAACACCAACCATCTCTTCCCAACGAAAACAATAATCACTAATCCTGCATTGTAGGAGGCCTGGATGAAGTTGGGAATATGAATGAGTGGTAGAAGGAAGCACCAATAAAGCAAATAACTGAATAAACTTAAATCATTCCCTACTGAGTAAATTTTTACCTTGGACCAAAACCTACTGATGGAAACCAACTTCTAGCTGCCAGGTCTGCCAAGATGATAACGTGGGATACGGTGCAATAATTTACTGGTTTAAATTTAGTTTAGTGAAGCCAAAACCATCTGGTCCAAAGGACACTTTGGCAGACTGAGTAGAGTGAGAACACTGTTCTTGTTGCTGTTATGGTCTGATAACAAAGGAAAAATTCACAACCAAAGCCATTAAAAAGTCATTTGCAGTCTATCTCCCAACCAAGTTAGAATAATAAGAGGCAGAGCACTAATTATTATTGTATGAAGTTTCCCAGCAGAGACGTTTCAAACCAATTGCCACTTGTCTGTTCTCAAGTATTTTCGGCACGCAAATAATCTGTAAATGCTTTCATTTGTGGCACCTTTTCATTTATGTGACAATATTATTACATTTGTGTTTTCCCTGGCAATTGTTTTATTGCCATCAGGGAGTGATTAGTGAAACACTTTAGAGAAAGTAAGAGCATCTCTGAATCTGCCCCTAATTTTAGGTCTGGGTTGAAATGGACTCTCAATAAAATAAAATTGTGCGTTTTGGGAAGACAGACAAGATGCTGATTACATAGGTAGGACTGGAACAGAAAATGAGATAGTACCACACACATAATACAAGGGTATTAGAACTGAATGCAATATTCCATTTTCATCCTCAACAAGGTTATTTTAAAAGGTAACTTTGTTTATTGCATAATTATCCCTTTGTAAAAGCTGGGATTTTTCATGGTCCTTTTTTGCTGCATAGTTTTGTGCACAGCTGGGGCAGAGCTGCTTGACAACATCAACTCTAAAGCCACTTTTCAGTCTGTCTGATTTACCTTTTATTCCTTCCTCTGAAAGACATGGTTTTGCACTGGTATTCAAACTAATTTTCTTGAACAGGTACCTTTTACAAGGCAGGCATCTGACTGTACGTATGAGTGCATGTCACTTTGTCATCCACAGAATTCATATTTATTACCAAATCACAAATGAAAAAACCTGAATTCTTTCAAACTAATAACCATTCTTCATAAAAATCCCGGATGGGCACTCCAACAATAAAAATGCCACTTCTTACTTAGCTATTAATTAATCAGTTGGCAAACATGAGCTCTCTCAAGATTTTCAAATGCTAGGGAAGACATGGAGTGCTGAGTCTGAATCACAGGATCATGGAATCATTACAACTGGGAAAGACCTCTAAAATCATCAAGTCCAACCATTAACCCAGCACTGCCAAGGCCACCACTAAACCTTGTCCCCAGCTACCACATCCACACATTGCTTTGAATACTTCCAGGGATGGTGACTCCACCAGTTACCTGGACAGCCTGTTCCAATGCTTCTTTCAGTGAAGACATTTTTTTCTAATATCCAATCTAAATCTTCCTTGGTGTTACTTGAGGCAGTTTTCTCAAATACACGTCCTGGTGCCTTTAGACTCTACACTGTCTCAGCTCCTCACTTCGTTCCATTCTTTCTCAGTGTCACTTTAGAGACTTAATAAGTCTTGAAGCTGGAAAGTTTCTACCTCACAACAACCCCAGATGTGGCCAGAAGAGAATATGGAGGAAACGAGACAGGAAGAAAAAAGGAAAATGTGTAGGATATGATGTAAAGAAGGGAGAACCAAGGGGGGAAAAAAGCAGGAATACAAAAAGTAAAAGATAATTTGTCATGATCAGACCTACCAATATGCGTGGCAGTGATTCCTGAGGATGATCTTGTTCTTTATATTGCCCTGAGTTTCTCCCACCCCCTTCCTTTCAAGAAAAAGCTTGCACAAGAATGCTGGGATAATCAGATAGCGAGTTCAGGAGTTCATTTATCTCTGTTACCAGCTGAGGTGCCCATCTCACTTCCTACATGCATGTCCTGCATCCTGACAAGACTGATTCGTGTAAGTCATTTAATTTAGATCATTAGCCTCACTGAAAGCAACTCATAAGCCTCAAGTTATTTGTTTAAAACCATGTTTTGCAGACTGGGCTTTGGAGTGGAGAAAGAACCAAAGGGACTCATGAATAGATCACCTGCCAGTTCCCTGACCTGCCTTTCAAATATTTTACTGTCTCCATAAGAAAATTTAAATCAAATCAATAACGAATATAAAAACGGAAAGCAAGAAAAAAACAACAAACCAAACCCCTCCTGCTGCAAATTCTTTTAGATTAATAATTTAATCTTATTTTTGTAGAAAGAATAAAAGAGCAGAACTGCAAGGTAATGCCAGCCTGGTTAGTATAACTGAAAATAATAATAGTATAAATGAAGTAAAATGAACTGTACAATAATGAAGCTGAAAGGTCATCTGTACTCCATATCCCACAAAAGTTCATGCATCCCACCAGAAGCCAGCAGTGTCAAATATCTGTATGTGGATGTGAGAGAAGAAAGCAAAAAGCAAAATGTTATACTGTTTTGTGAGGTTTTTTTAAAAAAATAGTTGACTTGAATATTGTCAGACAAAAATAACAATCTGCATAAGGGCATCACGGAGCATATGGTTTGCAGATAAGATTTTCTTTTAGAATTATGATAAGATTTTCTTTTAGAATTATAATCAAGCATGTGTTACTTTATGGCACAATTGTAGAGGGAGATAAATGAATGTATGTTCTGCATTTCTGTACAGATTTCTACAATAAGAACTAACTTTCCTGCACTCTTTACCTTTTTCTAAGAAGGAAATTACTTAATTTTCACGCATGAATAAACAAACAACTTTTATATATTTGGAGGTAGTTAAAAAAAGGATAAATTAGGCCCTCCAATTATAGAGTTGCAAGCATTTTCTTCATTTGATGAATTTACAAGGATGCAAAATACCTGTGTGAACAAATAAACATTGCCTGTATTCAATTAAACCACTGTTTCCTTCATGCTTTAATTACATAATTAATGTGATAAATTAAACTGTTTCTCAGTGAACCATCCAGTCTAAGTTCAGAATTTATATTAGTGTACTTTGCTATATATGCACAAAAAGTAATTTGGATCATGAAATTATCTCTGAATTAGTTCCCTGTTTTCACTTCCACTTTGAAGGGGAAAAAAACCCATAATAGACACTAAAACCTAAGTTTCTCATTGCTGTACTTTGCAGCTGTACATGCAGAAAAGTTAAAATACTTTTACCACACACGGCCAATATATTTTCCCCATAAACTTTAGGTTAATGCCCAAAGGGGACCAAAATAAGATGTCTTAACAGTGCTAAGCCCCATCCTTTTCCATACATAGCTCCATTTAGCACAACTGGATAAAGTGTCCTTCGTCAAGGGCACCAGAATGGTTTGCCTGCAGGATTCTTTCCTGTATCCACCAGCACACAATGTGCTCTATTTTTTGGTTTTTGCTGCTTGATTCCGTGTGAGTAGTTAAACTGCTCAACTCCCTGCTTCAGGAGGCTATGGAGAGCCTAATTAAGAAAGTTAGATGGGCTCATGCAAGAAAACTTCATTAATAACCAAGCTGCACACTGCTGAAAGCTGGGAGGATGCACAAAGGAAATGCTGTTGTGTGCTCACTTTTCTCCTATAATCTGCCCCAGACTTCTGTGTCTAACGCTGGTAGAGGGAGTGTGTAGCTCCCAGTTGGGAGACGGATACAACACTTTTAGCTCCAGCAGAGAGAGAATTAGAACCTGTCTCGCAGGGCAGATACATTATTTAACAGAACAAGCATAGGCTTTGGGCAACGAAAATCAATCACAGGCATCTGAAGGATTATCCTACTTGATTGAAAGTCTCCTCAGACAGAGAGGTGGTGTCTCCTTGGGCTTCAGGACTTCAGCAAATGTAAAGCTTCTACTTTTTTTACTAACTTTATTGCTGGTACAAACAGTAACTGTTAGTTAGACATCCATCTGGAAACTCATTCCCTGTAATTTTCCACTTACTTGCTCAGCAATAAGATGATATTAGTAGTATCTGCTAAATATATAGAATCACAGAGCATTTTGAGGTGGAAGAGACCTTAAAGATCACCTAGTTCCATCCCCTTGCCATGAAACTATTACAGCTGAAATTATCAAACCATTCAAAAAACTCGGAGTAAAAATGAACTGTGGGGCAGATCACAGGGTTCCAGAGCTGGAACAAATTAACACCTCCTCTAATATCTTTGGGTATACAAGATCTCACAGCCTCACATGTCAGGTGGTTTTGCCAATCTGCAGAGAGGGAAGGAGAGGTGGTAACAAAGACTAAACACAGAGGCTGAGCTGGGTAGGGTGCAGATTTGACGGCTGGATGCTGACAGGGCAGGTAGAGCTGCAAAAAGAGGCAGGGAGCCGAACAAAGCTCTGCATCAACAGGCTGCAGGATCATTCATACTCCTGGAGTACCATCTGTTGATCCTTCCCACCTTATGCCTTTTCTCCCAGGTGTTAGATAACAACGAGTCACAGTTTCTGGAATCTCGGAAGGAAGCAGCATCCCAGATGTTCATTAGAACTAAACAAATATTCAGTTATATTTAATTATATTTGAAAATGGAATAATCCACAAAGAGGCTGAATATTGTAAATAAAAATTGCTAGAGGGTCCTTTCTTCTCTCCTTGTCCTAGGAAGATGGGGCAACACAAAACATAAGTGGTGTTTCTGCTAATAAAACGGAACCCATATGAAATCTGGGATGAGAAAAGTATGGAGAGGTTTTAGAAGTTTTTACTGTCTCTCTAGTGCATTTGACTAAATCAATGCAATCTGTGCTAAAGCCAAGAAGTTTTTCCCGTAGAGAATTTCCTAATACACTGGAGACAACATTTCAACAACTTGAAAATAATTATTACCTTTCCACAACAAAACATGGAAAAGAAATAGAGGGAAGGGGGGGGGGGAACCAAACAACCTTTACAAAAATTCAAAGTTGCAGAACCTTTCAATACAGTGAAGTCTCAGTTCCTCTGGAGCTGAGTGCATGCTAAAGACAACTGGTAGATTACATGTAGTACATTTGTA